GCGTCTATCGAGTGCCCCCCCCCCCCCCCCCCCCCCCCCCCCAACCCGGGATTTGAGTAGAAGCTCAAATTTGTGAGCCAGGAAGTTTTAGACGACGCGTAAGCGAATACAGCCGACTTCCATCGCGCGCCGCTTGATTCGCAGGCTAGCGTGAGACGCAGACTCACCGGCGCATAATGTGCGGTGAGAGTTGTAAGCTGACAGCCGGTATACCACGCCTAAACGAATTACGCTGACGCTACTAAATTTAGAACCCAACGGATCGTTCCAGTAGATGATGATATCTGTTCGGAAGGCCTATAATAATCGCCTCAGATGTTCGGATACAAGATCACTCTCGTCTCTCTTCGGCCGAAGGCTGAAAAAGTGATCTCGCAAAAAGACGGCATCCTGCCGAAGAGAGAAGAAAGCAGGCCGAAAAGTGATCTCGCAATAGAACGCCTTGCACATGGCCTGGGATGACGATAAACCACCACACATGACTCATGTATTTTAAACTTTTTAATAATTGAATCATACAGGCCGGGTCATACATATCAAGATGCCGGTCTCTTTCTGTGATCAAATTGTGTTGGCCTACTGTAATTTACACCAACATCCTTTTTAAAAGACTCCACTGAAACGATACGGGAAAACAGCAAAAAAAACAATCAAATTTGTTTTGCTTAAATTTCCTTGTTGCGGGCCCCTGAATTTAGCGATTTTCTTTCCCAAGATTTAGTGACTAGTTATTTAGCGATTTTTTTCGACTTTTAGAGATTTTAGTGTTCTCAACTGAAACTTCTAGAAGCGATTTTTAAAATTAAAAAAAATAGTGACGTTAAGGTCTGAAAATGTTTCGTCCTCAAGAAATGAAGACAAATGTTGTATTTCCCTTTGCGACCCGAATCGCGGAGTAGCAGTAGCTGTTCATAAACACGTTGTAAGGTGCTATTGCATGGATTTGCTAATAGAGAGCTCGATGGGACAGCATTTTATTACCCGGTGACGTGTTTAGCGGACTTAGAAGCTTATCCGTGTTTGTATGTAAACCAAATTTACACCATCTCAAGATTCGCGAGGCCTGCGAGCATCGTATTACATTTAACGGGATAATGTTAAGTGCTCTTACAAATTTTTGTAAAAAATGATCAGTACAGTCAAGAGACTATGATCTAGATCATAGTCTCTTGGTACAGTCAACTCTCTCTTAACAGACACCTCTATAAGACGGACACCTCTGTAAGACGGACACTTGGTGTTGGTCCCTGCGCGCCATTTTTTTCAATCATGTTACTGTATCTAAACCTCTGAACTCTCTATAAGCGGACACTTCTCTAAGACGGACAGTTTGTGCCGGTCCCGATGGTGTCCGTCTTAGAGAGAGTTCACTGTAATATCAAGCACAATCACTCTAACTACAGTGAACTCTCTCTAAGACGGACACCATCGGGACCGGCACAAACTGTCCGTCTTAAAGAGGTACTGTATCTAAACTCTCCGATAAGCGGACAACATGACTGAAAAATGGCGCGCAGGGACCAACACCAAGTGTCCGTCTTACAGAGGTGTCCGTCTTATAGAGGTGTCCGTTAAGAGAGAGTTCACTGTATTCCTATCGAATATGAGAATAGAAAATTATTGCGAGCGTTCGAAAAGAACACCGAATTATAGGAAAAGGTGTTTTTTTTACCGGCTGTAATAGATTTATGATAACCGTCACAAATTAGCAAACTCCTATGGCGAACCATTCTATCGCCTGAAATATATACTTAGTGTAATTAGATCGAGTAGCTCATGATAGTTTATGCCGTTCTATCAGTTCCTATAGTTCGTGTTACTGAGTTCGTGTAAGTTCGTGTCGCCTTGCGGACACCCCGTTATTACGGACACCCGCTATTACGGACAAAAACCCGGCGAAAGCTATAGAGGTTTACACCTGAAAATGACTCCCTCTATTACGGATTCTCGCAAGAGAAAATTTTCTCTTGATTCTCGCTATTACGGAATAACGGACACTTTCGTGGTACCAACATAACAATTTTATTGTTTTGACCCTCGATAAAGCGGACACCTTGAACTTTCTCATAGTCTGTTGTTTGGTATGTGTCAACTTGTATCAACACACTTCCAAAGACTTCGGACTAAAAGGACCAATGCAAAGGGACTCTCGCTATTACGGACTCCAAACTACGTCCGGCGGATGTCCGCTAAACGAGAGTTGGAATGACATGCTAATTTTAAAGGTGTTTCAACAAGATTAACACGAGTGGTCATTTTTACGTTTTCCAGAAGTCTACGGGAGGGAAGGCTATAGAAAAATCCTTCAAGCTATTTTTATCCGGCTTTTCAAAGTCAATTCGGTTGTGTGGTGACTAATATATAGTCACGACATGATGCCACAGTTTATAGCAGCTTCAAACTACCAACTTCGGTTTATTGTGCAAACCGTTTTTCAACTTCCCAAGCGTTCATTTGTTTCGTCAAAAAAAACGTCGCGCGCGGTTTTGCTTCGAAAATAAAGAGTCCGTCGACAACGACTAAGGGCCCGGCTAGGCGAATTTTTGTTTGTTTGGCAAAGATATCTGTCATCAGTTCCGTTTCACAAGTGCGAACGGCGATTTTTTTCCTACCAAAATTTTGTCAAGCCATTACCAAACTTCAAAGGCGCCGTCGTCCTGCCCCAGAGCAGGACAAAATTTTGTCAAGCGTCAAAACTGACAGATTCGTCAATTCACACACATTAATCTCAAGGTTACAGCGGTGATTATTCGCTTGCCTCGGTCCGTACAACTAGTACCGATCCAAAATTTTACCCGCTAGCAGCACCTAGTGATGTTTGAGTAGCACAATTTGCTCATAAACAGTGAAACAGTGCACGGTCCGATCGGGTGCAAGTATTGCGACTAAAAAGTGACAGTGACAGTCGGGGAAAGCGGCAAGAAACATGCAAGTCGTTTAAAAATTTCAGTCCGAGAAGAAGAATTATCTAGTTAATTAGTTTGTGTATTATACTACGAAGGCAGGACAGTAAAAACTTTAGAAAGTACTGGTTTTAAAAGATTGTCGAGGAGTTGAATGCAAAATTTCATAGCAACAACAGAGGTTTTCGGTTTCTACGTGATTTGATATGTTGTGGTTCGCGAATAATTTGTGATGATTTTTGGTTTTCAAGTGCGTACGCGTTTATTCAAAATGAAAATTTGGCGGAGACAAAATTTTGTAGTATATTTTGGTAGCGCCAAACAAATTTTGTCAGCCTAGTGCGGCCGGGGCCCTAGTGCGGCCGGGGCCTAACGCGCTGACTTTCTTGAGTAAGTTGGAGAAAAAAAAAAGGTTTGAAATGGCTATGAATAGGGTGAATTGGGGGACTGGGGGACTGGAATAAAATTCCTATCATGTCACATGCAAGTTCTGTTTAGCGTTCTTGTTTGTTTTTTACTTTGTTTCTCCTTGGTCCATGGTATTCTACAGTGGAACCCCGCCTTACGGCCACCCCGTTAATACGGTCACCCCGGCCCGTTATTACGGCCACTTTATTTTGGCCCGAACAAAAGCTCAGTCAGTAATTTTCTTATTTAAAGAACCCCATTAATACGGCCACCCCGTTATTACGACCAGTTTTCTTGGCCCGTAGGTGTCCGTACATGAACGAGGTTGCACTGTATTTCGCAGCAGTGTTACGAGTGAAGTTGAAATGTAAAATAAGCCCGGGGCCAAAGGAGGATGAGAGCTTTCTCGCTCTCGTTTGGCCTGAAACTCTCACGCGCTCTCACAGACTCTTATGCGCTCTCATCAAATTTGAACCTGCTCAATTTTCCTTGAGTCGTCACGAGTTTTCTGTCGTTTGGCCCACGCTTCATGATGGTCGATGAGAGTTGAAGAAAAACTCTCATGAGGGCCAACTCTCAACAACTCTCATCCTCGTTTGGCCCGCGCTAAACACATCAAATGTAAATCCATTGTTTTCTCTATATGATAAAATCGCCGTTTACTTGTTCTTTCGTTTCTTAGCCGATTAAATGGAAATTAGTCCCGCCAAATGTACGTGTCCCTTGCATCATGCATCGTCATCATGTAATCTCATTTCAGCTGCTAATGCCTAGCTTACCGGCTGGTGGTCTGATTACGTGCCTCTTGCATAATCGCATAATTTATACAGGTCACCGGCTTATGTACTAAGCTAGTCTGGTATTTTTTATTTTATTATTTTTTCAGTATTTTTTCGCTTTTATCATAGAGGAAGTTCAGAACACGTTACAATGCGGTCCATAGTGTTGGGACACTTTCCGCGATGCCAGTGACATTGTTAAATTAAACTCCACGCTCATTTATAATTTTATTCTCATATTAGTATAGGAAATCGTATGAACGCGAGTGCAATTCGTGATTTATGGGCACGAGTGATGTTTTGAAAGTTCTCAAAATTGCACGAGCCTTTAGGCGAGTGCAATTTGAGAAACTTTCAAAACATCACGAGTGACCATAAATCACTAATGCACGAGCAGTTCATACGATTTTTTGTTTATAATATTCTCAACAAAATTTGCTGCGGCCATCACGCTACTTGCACACGAAACGCTTCACTAGTTTCCAAAGTGCTCACATGTTTTATTTGAACGCGCAGGCAAACCAAGCGTGAACTTTTTGAAAGAATTACAGTACTATAGTTTAGAAAACATTTAACCATTAACTTGAAAGCTTATTTCAAAATCATTTAGCGGCAAAAACGTCTCTACTTGTCCGGTACCGTTTATCACAATTCCGTATTGCACTCTATAACCTATTTATGCATTCGTCATTGACCAATCAGAAGCTCCATATTTTGTTGAGTATATTATAATAAAATGTATTGTAATATCAAACGTGTCAATTTTTTTATTCTATCTAGTTTATTGTTATGTTCTATTTTGAGCCAAAATAAAGATTGTTGTAGGCTCGATTACCGAGGAACACGAAGACCAGATATTGTAGTCTAAATTTATATGCTTTTACCAATTTTTGCGGATTTCCTATCGGTTGCCGAGATAGCCTCAGTTGGGACGAGCGTCAGACTGAAGATCTGAAGGTCCCTGGTTCAAATCCGGAGAGTATCGTATGAGCTCTGAATAATACCCGGGTCTCGGGCAAATGTTTTTTAGTTTATTACTTTTTTTATTTTTATTTTATTGCTTTAATGTTTTGTTTGTTTGTTATGTTTGTTTATCTTTGTCTTCATTTACTACCATTTCTGAACAAAACTTTCATTGCGCAATTTTTGTTGGAATATAAACATTCAATTTTCAATAATAAAAAGCATCTTTCCCTTCTTTTTCTTTTCATCACTTACAAAAGGGACGAAATGTAATTTCCAGAATTTCGATGGCGAGGGCTGGGGCAGTTTTCGGTGGTGATTTTAACGAGGGATGAAAGGGGCGGACAGTTTTCGCCGTGGTGATTTTAACGAGGATGAAAGGGGGACGTTTTCGGTGGTAATTTTAACGAGGGCGACCAAGAAGGAAGTTTTCAGAGTGGTGATTTTAATGAGGGAGAAAGAGGGGACGTTTTCGGTGGTGAGTTTAACGAGGCGAAGGAAAGAGGGACGTGTTCCGGTGGTGATTTTAACGAGGGCGAAAGAGGGCACGTTTTTGGTGGTGATTTAAACGAGGCGTGGACAAGGGGGAACAGTCTTTCGGTGGTGATTTTAACGAGGGTTGGGGGTTTGGGAAAGGGGGGGACAGTTTTCGGTGGTGATTTTAACGAGGCGTGAAAGAGGGACGTTTTCCTGGTTGGTTGATTTTAATGAGGGCGAAAGAGGGACGTTTTCGGTGGTGATTTTAACGAGGGCGAAAGAGGGACGTTCTTCGGTGCGTGGATTTTAACGCAGTGCGAAAGGGGGGACGTTTTTCCGGTGGTGATTTTTAACGATGGGCGAAAAGAGGGACGTTTTCGGTGGGTTGATTTTAACGAGGGCCGAAAGAGGGACGTTTTCTGTGGGGATTTTAACGAAAGGCGATAAAGCGAAAAGAGGGACGTTTTTCGGTGCGTGATTTTAACGGGGGCGAAAGAGGGACGTTTTCGGTGGTAATTTTATCCGCGATGGTTGAAAGGGGGTAATACTGGCAGTTTTTGGTGGGTGATTTTAGCGTCTTGTTTTTCTTCGCTATCACCACTCCGCCCGCCCCCCTCATCCCCGTTAAAAACGTTGCTGATAAATTAATGCACCCATTATTGGCAAACCTGCGTCCCCAGCGCCTAAGTTGGTATTAGACTTTCAAAATTATGATCTTTTATCAGTTGGCATCCTTTCTATCATGTCTGCCAAGATAGCTCAAGATATGTCTGGAGCCGTCGCTGACTGAAGATCTCAAGCCGTCCCCTGTTCAAATCCGGAGAGTTCGTATGAACTCTGAATAATCCCGGTCTCGGCAAAGTTTTTTTTTTTCTTATTTTGTTGTTGTTGTTTTACTATTTCCAGTAAATACAATGCACAGGACTTTTACTGTTAAAATATTTAGTTTTCAACTGTACAAAAAAATATCTAAAAAAGATACAGTAAAATTGGCTAACATTTTTATATTTTATTTCTTTTAGAACTATTGTTATTCCTGTTGTTATTTTGGTTATCAGTCGTGAATGCCGAGATAGCTCAGTTGGGACAGCGTCAGACTGAAGATCTGAATTTCTCTGGTTCAAATCCGGAGAGTTTCGTATGAGCTCTGAATAATTAATCCGAGAACTTGTTTTTTATTTTTTTTGCTTTCAGCTCGGGTATCAATTTACTTTACTTTTGCAATTTTTCACTCAAAGAACTTTAGCTTTCTGTTTCACGGCATTCTTTCTTTCTGCGGCCGTCAGATTTCAGTGTTTTGTAACGAAATACATTCCCTTTTTCATTCCTTCTCATTTCGCATGCATATTTTTTTCAAACACAAAAACAACTATGGCCTTTTTCGCGCTTCATGATTCGCCCGCTAAAAAAGCGTGCAAACAAAATCCGCGCCGCGTATTTGTCAGCGATTGGCTTGAATTTCTAATCCATATTCATGACAAATTGTAGAATTTGCTTCAAACCAAACAGGTCGTGGATGTGTGAAGACGTGTCTGGAAGAATATGCTTGTGACGGGATTGGAGCTTCACTGGAGAAGTCTTTACGCTATTCCAACGAAGGTGAGCACTGCTTTTAGAAAATATTACTTTAATTTTGTT